ATAATAATTAGTTTATTTTGTAAATCCTTATAGCTGGATGTTTTATCAATCATATTTGCTTAATTAATGACAAAATTTATAGGCACGGATTGCTAATATTCTTAAACCTTTTTCTGCAAAATTCTTAGTAATTTTTTATAATTAATTTTGTCTTGAGTCTTCAATTGAACAATATATCCATTTGAGTTTAGAATTAATCATATTTGATCTTCAAAAAAATAATCTGGAGCCCTATGAATGAATAAGACACATCATTTTCCAATTACGAGACATAACCTTTATGTATCTTGTAAATTCACCTTAGATCTTTCATTATATTATTGAGGTAGTTTCAGTTGGTAACCCATATATTTAGTATATTCCTTTTATTAGTGAACAATCTATATTCATAATAATCTGCATAGATTACCATAATTTAAAAGATTTCTAGCTAAACCTTTCATTAACTAACTTGGTATCATACCATTCTATCTTTCTTTTTGTGAAATAAGATATTCTATCAATAAGGAATACTGTAATCGATAAAATAACAAAACCTGATAAGAGTGACATTTCTTTAGTACAATTTTAATTTGTTATCGAATTACCATTAATATCTAAGCAAATTATGGTTCTACATCTTAAGGTCTAAACTTTAGATAATTTAAAAACAATAAATTAGTATATGCCATGATTTGAGCTTTTAAAGCTATTCACGTTTTAAAAATATCTGGAAGTTCTCCTGATATAGAAGGGACTGACAATATTAAAGCTACTTTGAAATAATAAAAGAATTTCATTATAATTTATATGTGACCATGATTAGCGAAATAACCAATTTTGGGTTACCAATAAAAGAACCAATATATGAGATATATTTAGCTATTTTTTCTCATTCTATTGATCATATTAAATTTTATTGAAAATATCAAGTTTATATTAAAGGATTCCAATCTCTAGTTAGAATTTACTAGTGTATTGGGATTTTATAATGTTATTAAATTTCGACGACATATTATATGACTAAATTGTCTGTTTCTATTTCATCATATTTAATTATACTTCTATAATTCTCACGGCATTTAGATTTTTAAAAACCTACAACTTCAGCTTTATTATATATCAATAGTTTAAAGATCGCTAAATGGTGATCTCTCAAAGAAAAATTAAAATATAATTGCTAAGTTGTTTTCAAATTTTTCTTTAATTTATTTATTTTACTCTCTTAGACTTCCTAATCTAATTAATTTAGAATATAATTGACTAATCTGGTTTATCCTTTAACTGTAGTCAAAAACCTAATTATATATACTTTTTATACTTTTATAGATTTATTTGATCAGAAGCAACTACTTTTTTAATTGGATATGTATGGAATGAATATTTCAAATCGATGTGGACCATTAGTAAGATCTTTATTTGCTCAATGAATTAACAACAAATTAGTATTTCTCTTTGTTTTTTTTTGAATTATGTTCCAAATTTAACAAAATATTTCATCTGACATTATTGGTACCTAGGCATAGATTGTCCTTCAAATTTAATTTTATATAAAAAATTATTGAATATTCAATCTAATCAAAGAAGGCTGGGAAAAAAAGATTTAAAATAAGTCATTTTAGAAAGATATAATAAATAATATAATGATTTTCCTAGTTTAATAGATATAGAAATATAAATAAAATTGATCAATTATAATTCTAAACTAGATTCTTACTTACTAATTTAGGAGTATGAATCTTTCAATAAATTTAATTTGCAAAAAAGTTTGAATTCATAATAAGTTGATCATCTGGTTTTATCTTCCATAATATATTTACATTTAAATTTAAATATAAGG